TGGTCCTGTCGCTCACACATCTGTGTCTCTTTCTGTTGCCTGAAAGTTTAGGTCAACTTTTGGAAGAAGGTGGTAAATTTGCCACCTCTGTAGCTCCTGTCTGGGGGTCCCTGCCCTCCTCACCCCAGCCCAAGGCTCCCTGGCCTCCACTCCGGAAGTTTGCCTTATAGCTCGGGGTAGTCGGGACGAGGCCTGTCCTGATAGCCCTGCCTCAGACCGACGCCCAGCAGCCCGAGCTGGGGGCCAGGAGCCGGTGGGTGGTGCCCCCTCAGACCTGTGTGTCTATTGTTGACAGGCGGGCTCTGAGGAAGGAGATAGAGGGTAGGGGTCTTCTGAGGAGCTCGGGGCTGGTGGGGTGCAGTGGGGAGGGGCGGGGGAGACAGGTGAGGGGAGACATGTGCGCAAGAAATGCTGGGGGAGGCCCGATCAGACCCTGCTGCCTGCAGATAGGCCACTGCTCATCAGTTAACTGTATCCCCCTGCTGGTAGGTGCACTTCCTCATCTGTTCTGGAGGGTTCTGAGCAGTGCCAGGCAGAAGTGCTCTCCTAGGTGCAACCCAAAATTAGGTTTCCCATTCTGGGGCCAGATGAGATGTGTGCTGAGTGTGTACGGGGGTCCCAGAACCGAGGCTTCTCTCTGAAACCCCTAGGCTGCAGGGATCAAATTGAGTTTAGGAGGGATCTGATCTGGTACATTTAACCTTTTTTTAATTAAAAAAAAAAAAATGTAGGGGCCGGCCCGGTGGTGTAGCAGCTAAGTGTGCACACTCCACTTCGGCGGCCCGGGGTTCGCAGGTTCGGATGCCAAGCGTGGACTGACGCACCGCTTGTCAGGCCATGCTGTGGCGGCGTCCCATATAAAGTAGAGGAAGATGGGCACAGACATCAGCTCAGGGGCAATCTTTCTCAGCAAAAAGAGGAGGATTGGCACCAGATGTTAGCTCAGGGCTGATCTTCCACACACACACACACACCACTATAGAAATGTGCTTCTTGCTCATGTAATAAGCCAAAATGAGAGTTTGTTATTTGCTGGTGGCTCTTCTCCGTGCAGCAATTCAGGGACCCCTGTTCTTTACAGCCAGTAGATGTACCGTCCCCAAAGCCTTGTCATCGACTGCATCCAGCAGTGGAATGGGAGTAACAGAGCCTGGGAAGAGCCGCCTCATTGCCGCACACATCCCTTTGGCTAGAACTCAGCCCCAGGTGCACGCCTGCTGCAGCGGGGCTGGTAGGTGCAGCTGTGCGTCCACGAGTGGAAGCACGCTGGGCCGCAGACAGCCTGTGCCGCACCTCAAGGCTCTCCAGCATCAGGCCCCACCCACCGCTCCAGGCAACTTCAGAAGACACCAAATGCTCTCTCACCACTAGGCCTCAGCTCATGCTGTTTAGTCTGTCCAGAGCCCTCCTTCCCCGCACTGTTCTAGCCATTCATCTGTCTGCCCATCCGTCCGTCCGTCCAGCCAATAAATATTATTGAGCATCAAATACGTGCCAGACCATGATCTCAATGCTGAGGATAGCGAAATGAACAAAGCAGAAAACAGCAGACTCCTGTCCTCAGACAGTGGGGCTTGTACTGCAGCAGGGAGACGCAGATGGCACACAATGAACAAGGTATATGTGATAAACCAGTTATAGGTGAGGTCAGAACACAGCAGTGATGGAAAAGTAGAGCAGGTGAGGGGATCAGGAGTGGGGGGCAGCGACTTAGAAGGGTGGGACCCAGGAAACGAGGCCTCTCTGAGAAGGCAACAGGCAGGTGGGCACAGACCTGAAGGAGGTAAGGGAGGGAGCCCTGAAGACGTCTGGGGGAAGAGCATGTACAGAGGGAACAGCATGTGCAAAGGCCCTGAGGTGGGAGTGGCTTCTCTGGCATGAGGAGCTGCAAGGAGGCCTGTGTGGCTGGAGAGCGGTGGGAGACAAGGTCAGAGCCCAGGGGGACCAGGTTGTGGGACCTGTGGGCTGGTCCCTTCACAAAGCCCACCCATCTTTTCATTTTCAACCTAGAGCTCCCTTCTTCAAGAGAGCCTTCCAGGGCTCTCCACGCTGAGGGCACTGAGCTGGAAAGAGTGGGACCCCCAGAATAGTAAAGGGGCGTTTGGGTGCACTTGAGCCAATCCGAGAATCCTGAACCAAGGAGGGAACAGCACAAGTGTGTGGCTAGGTCTCTACCAACGTTCCCGTCACGACCCCAGCTTCACAGGCAATGTCGTCTTTGCCTCGCCTGCCAGGCCCCCCTGGTTAGCCATGCACTTTGTAGCTTGAGACAGAACACACCACTGCCCTCCAGATGAGCAGGGAATTTGCCGGAAGTGTCATCCGTGTATTGCTCTCCGAGGCCAAGTGTCGCCTAAAGTTGACACGAAACCTCAGGGACACAGGGCACGTCACTTGATAGGGGTTGGGCACAGGGCATGGACGCGCTCCCTCACCGTCTGCCGCGTGGGCTGCAGCCAGGGACTCCCCACTCCGAGCCCTGTTTCCTGGTACAACAGGCCTGGTAACCGGCGTCGCAGGGAGCTGCTGTGAGAACCAGGCTGAATGAGGCTCCGAAGGCCTGGCGCTGCACGCCCTCCTCTTCCTCTTCCCTTCACGACTGTGTTGTACCCCCAGGGTGGAAACCAGGAGGAAATCCCCCTGGATTTCCCTTCCTCCCTGGGCAGCCGGGGGAGGCGTGGCCGTCGCCAGTGCAGCTGCTGTCTGACCCCACGTGCGTGGAGGGTGACTGTGCCCCTTTCCCCACAGGCCTGCGTGGGCAGCCACCTCCCTCCACTGGACCAGAGGCCCCGAGAGAGGCTTCATAAGGGGGAGAGGGACACATCCCAGAGCAGCAGCTGATGCGACGTGACAGGATGTCACAGCTCTTCCTGACGAACCCCGGATCACAGGCAGGCGCCAGAGCCCAGCGTGAGAGCTGTGGCCTCAGAGGGCTGGTACCTGGGCAGGAGGCAGGGCCGCCGTGTGTGGACGGGCACGGAGGTCCTGCTGTGCAGCCTCGCTGCCCCTCCCTGAGACGGGCTTGTGCCGCCAATCAAATAAGACGGAGGGCCTGCCTCTCCCTCCTTCCTCACACCCTGTGGGCTCCAGAACCTTCCTGTGCCTGTTTCCTCATTGGGGCCAACAATCACACGGCATGGGGACAGAGCAGGGTGGCACGGGGCAGCACCCTGGCCTGAGAGTGCCTCCGAGCCCCTCCAGAAGCAATCCCAGAGCCGCACGCACGAGGCCACACCTTTTATTGAAATGTACGTCATGCAGTCTGTTCAGGAGTTTGAAAAATAACAAAGGGAGGTCTGAAGACCAGCCTCGGCCAGGACCACCTGGAACAAGTCCTGAGTAGGAAAGGCACATGAGTGACCACCCATTTGATGGGGCGAGAAAGAGAAACCCACAAAGCGAGACGTGGCAGGAGAGTGTGGGGCCTTTGGGGCGACCTGCTGGGACGGGGCCAGGTGGCCCCCCAAGTGTCCCCCTGCCCCCGCTGGTGGCACGAACTGCCCCATGTGCCCTGCCTCCTGAGCAAGGGCTCCCGGAGCACCCCGGGGACGGGTGGGGGTGACGCTGGGACGCCAGACAGACAGGGTAGCACCAAGGGGCAGGCCAGCTGCGAAAGGGGTGGGGCTCCACGGCAGCGTCTGCAGCGGACCCAGGGCCGCAGCCTGGGAGTCTAGTTTATTGCTGCTGCTGGAGCCCACGGGCCAGGTGGCCACCACAGCCGGCCCCCTAGGAGCAGGGGCAGTGGCACTTTAAGGCAGCCCGAGGCAAGGAGGCCCAGGTGGCACCTGCAGGAATTGGGGACAAGCTGTTCCTGGGCCCAGTGCCACAGGGCCCCCGAGACCCCATGCGCCTCCTGGTTCAAGTACTAAGTGTTCTGTGTGTGCTGGAGAGTCACCTGCTGTTAGAGCAGGGGTTCAGGCTGAGACACAGTAGGGACGGGGACAGGACCCTCCTGGTGCCACCTGGCCCTCTGCTCCTCAACAGCCTGCTTGCCCCGGGCTCCCTTGGGGTCCCCTGCCACGGCTGCAGGGCACCCTCGTGGGTCGCCCCTCCTGGAACCGGCCTTCTTGCCCCAGAGGCTGCAGAGGCTGCAGCACCAGCTTGCTGAGCCACTGGGGGAAGTTTTCATGACAAGTCTGTGCTTGACCTTGGGGAGGGACATGTGGATGGGGAGGGGGTCCTAGAGAGGAAGGGAAAAGGCCCAGACCCTAAGCTGGCCTTTCCGTCCTCTCTCGGGCCTACAACCCACTCTTTTCCTACAGTGTGGGGGGAACAGGACACCTCCAGCCTTGCAGGGGACCCAGCAGCTGAACCCAGCTCCTCCCAGTGACTTCCTCCTGGCCTACAACTCCCAGCCCAGGCAAGGCCCAGCAGCTTCCCTGGCTCCACACAACGGTCCTCTGCGAAGAGAGCTGGGAGCCCAGTGAGAAGGGGAGGGGGTGCCCATGGTCCTCTCAGGAACTCCTGGAGCCAGAGTGGGGCTGGGGGCTGGCACGTGGGAGGGGGTGGGGGATGCTAAGGACGGTGACTCTGGGGTTCAGGGACCCCGGTGGTGGGCTGCCAGGCTTCCGTGCACGTGCAGATACACTGAGATGTTCCTGCCACCGGGTGATCAGGCGTCTGTGCACAAACGTCTGGGCTGCGGGGGCCCGAGCCGCCGCAGCGGTGGTGACCGGCGGCTCTGTGCCGAGCCTGGGAGCAGAGGTGAGAGGCGAGGCAGCCAGGGGCCCTCACCTGCGCAGCCAGTCAGACACGAGAGGGATCGTCGTGGCAGACAAGCCCCGGCACCCACCCCTCCCGGAGCCAGGGATTCACTGGCAACTGACGCCTCCACCCCAGAGGGACCCTGACTCCTGGGTTCCCGTTCAGCCCACAGAGGAGCAGGCACGGATCTGACCCTTGTGGGGAGCAGAGCACAGGAGATCAGGACCCTGAGCCCTCACCAGCCCCCAAAAGGAAGCCCACAGGGCCCTCAGAAAGGCTGGCCCCACAGAACAAAGGCTATTACCAGGAAGGCTGGTCTGGGAGGGGCCCTGGGACCCCCAGACAGGCCACAGAACGTGCCCAGCCACTAGCTCGCCATGAAAGGAAAGACGCTCTGCTGTCTGCCGGCCGCAGAGGAAACCCCTCCACAGAAACACTTTTTCCTCTTAGGTGGTGAGGATGGTTTTTGAGGACAATTTGCCTCCCTCCCAGCCCAGCTCCCAAGGGTCCTCTCCGAGAAAGCCCCCCCCAGGGTGGTCAAGAAGCAGCGGGGGCGGGGTCCCCGAGCAGCTCCTGGCAGACGGGCAAACGTGGGGGATGGGGACCTCGGTTTCCCGCAGAGCTGACGGACGAGGGGCAAGGAGTCAGGGGAACGGGTGCCAAGGGGAAAACACCCAGCGCTCCCCCGCCCACCTCCCCACCGATGCACAGCTCCTTGCCGAGTGCTTAGTGTCCAGTGTGTGCGTGCGCGTGCACGTGTGTGCGTGTGCAGTCGAGCCAGCCTGTGCCCGTTCCTGGCCTCACATGCCGGGCAGGGCTGCCCCGCCATGGCCACCCCAGGGCACACGAGTCGGAGGAAGAGAAGGGGCAGCGAGGGGCAGCCACAGCGTGGTGCCATGCCCTCGGAAGGCGGCACACGAGGCTTGTTATTGCTCCTCTTGGCTCAGGGAGCATCCTCCTCACCTGCAGAAAGGTCCCAGACCGAGGCAGTGGCGGCAGGGGGCCCAGATCAGCCCCCCTGCCAGTCACAGAGCAGGGGATAGCAGGTGGGACCCAGGACAGGGATGCCCCTGTCCATGTACCAGTCCTGGCCTCGGGCCCTCCCAGGCCTGCCCACAAGAGGCCAGGACGGCCCCCGGACACAGCCGGTGTCTGCAGAGCAGGAGCTGCTGGGGCTGCGGCGGCCGGGCCGTGCCTTCACCACAGTGGCTGGACCGCTGCCCATCCTTGGCCAGCCGCCTCCAGGGGCCACAGAAACAAGTCCTTACAAAAATAACTCTGAGTCCGTCCCGTGGGGACCAGGTTTCCTGAGAGCATGCAGGGGCCGGGGGAGGCGTGAGAGGGCTAGGGCTGCAGGTGCTCCAGGTACTGCGGGAGGGGGTTCTCCTTGACGTACTTCTGGACGTACCAGCACGTGAGATGGGCCTTCAGGTCCTCCTCCACCACGAAGTCCAGGGCAGCCTGGCGGCCGGGCAGAGAGAAGCACGGTCAGCGCCCGCACCCGGCCCCCACGCCTCCCGGCTGTCCTCTCCGGGGCGGGAGCTGGCTGCCCACGGCCACCTGTTCTACTCGGTCTGCAGTGGAGGTGGGAGGCGCCGTCACCACCTCCGTGCTCCAGTTGGGGAAACCGAGGCACACAGCTTTGGTAAACTGCCTGAAGCACTCTGCATGGAAGAGGATGGGCCAGAACTGGATCAGAGCCCCTGCACAGAACGCCCGGGGGCGGCCTTGCACAGGGCGGCAGGGCCTACACGCAGAGAACGTGCCCCTGCTGCGTGTCTCGTCCGGCCCCCGCCCCACCTGGGCTGCCTGTCTCCACAAAAAGGCACGCCTTTCCCATCTCAGTGCCTCCTGCTCGCAGGGTGCCCGCCTAACTCCACTTCTTCACTCGTCCTGCACGTGGCAGCTCAGCGGATGCCTCCTCCAGGAAGCCCCCCTGCAGGCCAGGTCAGGGGTGCCCCAGGGTGTCCCACCAGCAGAGGTCATGCTGAGTTCCTGCAGGGCTCCCACAGGTACCCGGGGGGTCCAGGGTGGGACCCTGTAGATGGCTGCTGTCCCCATCTCCAGCGAGCTCAGGAGGCGGAGCGCAAGAACACGTCTGGTGCAGCCCCTGCCCCCAGTGCCCTGCACACAGTTGGTGTTTAATAAATGTTTGCCAAAACAAAGCAGAGGACAGCCTGGTGGGGCTGCTGGGCTGATGAACAAGGAAGCAGCTGGACTGAGCACCACTAAAAGCTGACCGACCGTGACTGGCCCACCCAGCCTTCTGACACCTGAGCCGGCCTCTGTCGTCTCACAGTCCACGCCTGACCCAGGCTTTACGACCAGAGACCCTCTGGTGACAAGACTCCACTGTGCAGAGGAAGGAACTGAAGGCCCAAGAAGGCACCGATCAGAGGCCACACGAGGAGCGCCCTGGTGCCCTGGGCAGGCGGGCTCAGGAAAGCCACAGGCCCCCCAAGTGGCTCCCACGGCCAGTGGGGCCCCCAGGGTGAGGGGCCCACCTCCCCTTTACCCAGGTCAGTAAGCTCACAGGCTGGTCCCGCAGAAAGGGAGAGACCCGCCCGCCCCTCCTGCAGGCAGAGCCCCCACCAGCCGGCTGGGCGGAGAGGGCAGAGGGCAGAGGCCTGCGGGGGGGGGGGGGGGGGGGGGCGTGGCGGTGGGAAGAGCAGGCAGAGGGAGGAACCGCCTGTCTCTGCTCCTGGCTGCCATGCCCCTCCCTCAGCCCACACCTGCTCTCCAGCGGCCTGGGGTTTGAGGGGCTCTGGGGACGAAGGGGGTGAGGACGGCGAATGGGGTGGGAGCCAGTTCACCCAAACCCTCATTTACCCGCTCACTCAGCGAGGTTTCCTGAGCACCTATTACCCGCTGCGCGCTCCTGACGCGCAGCAGTGTCCCCGGCCCTGGAGGCTCAGCTCTGAGAGCCGGCCCGGCCCAGCGCCCGCGCCAGACCCGAGGGAGGGGCTGCTGACCGCTGCTCCCAGCTGCAACCTGTGGGCGAGGCGGCACCCGCCAGCACTCTGGCCAAACAGGCTGGATCGGCCCAGCCCACGGGCTCCCTCTGAGCGAGCAGGAGGGCAGCCCTCCCCGCCCCACCCGTACCTTGGCCAGGTGCTTGGCGATGCCGCGCCCGCGGTAGGCGTCGGGGACCTCGGTGTGCTGCAGGTCCACGATCCGCTTGCCCACGTACTCATAGAGCAGGACGGCCCGGTCATGACATCCTGCGGGGGGAGGGCAGTGGACAGGTGAGGCCTGGAGACTCGGCCCGACCGGGCACGGCGGCGGGGTGGACAGGCACTGGAGCCAGGCTGCTGCAGCTGGATCCCAAGTGACCGCCCTGTGCCTCCACAAAGCTGGGATATAACAGGACATTACTCGTGGGGGGTTGGAGGATTAAATGAGGTAAAACGCTTGGAGCAGCGCCCAGAACACACGCCCCAGGCGAGCCTTTGCCGTATCATCAGTCTCACCACCCCAGGGCCCCCAGCACCCTCTCCAGGGCACAGCTCTCTGCGTCCCCACCTGAACACCCTCCCAAGGGTGTGGGGGTCGAGGTGTAGGGCTGGACGCAGAGCAGGGCTCAGCAAGTCCTCAACTAAACCAGAACCCAGAGACATCAGGGAGCAGACCGTCAGGACACCCTACCGGACCCATGGACAAGCCACAGGAAAGTGACACTGGGCACAGGAAGCAGGAACAAACAGGCCGCCAAGCCCTCTCAGGCCTGCCAGGAGGGGAGCTCACCATCCACCCCAAACTCCTGTGGGGAAAACATTTAATTGGAGTCCCTCCAACCAAAGTCTTTAGTTCTCTATCCATCTGTCTGTCTGTCCATCCACCCATCCATCCATCCATCCATCCATCCATCCATCCATCCATCCATCCTTCCATCCATCCATCCTTCCATCCATCCATCCTTCCATCTGTCTGCCAACCGCCTGGACACCTACCTACCCAGCCGTCACACCTGTCTATTTGTCCATCTATCCATCCACTCCATCAACAACTGTTTATTGAGTCCCAGGCACTGTTTCAGGTGCTGGGGACACCAATGAACAGTCAGATGAAGAGCCCTGTCTTCTGACCAACCAGAGAGGAGACAGAGAATACACAAAGAAAACAAGTTAAGGGTCGCCTGGCAGGGATGGAGCAGGGGTGGGGGAGTGCGGGGCGGAGACAGACAGGAAGGAGGTGAGGGAGTGGGCCATGCGACGTCTGGGGAAACAGTGTCATAGGCAGTCACAGCCAGTGCAAAGGCCCTGAGTTTAGAGTAGACAAGTCACTGTCCCTAAAAGAAAACATGTCATTGCCAAGTGCCTTTCTCTGATTTTTAACAACAAATTGTATTTCATGTGTTTTTCACTTTAAAGCACTGTAGAGAATTCACTCCTAAACGCTGCCTGGGCTCCCAGCCTACGGTGAGCATCGCCAAGCGGAAGACTGACAGGCTGAGAGACACAAATGACTAGTCCAGGGTCTCACAGCAAATCGACAGGTTTCAGCCCCAGCCGGGGCGAGTGCTAGCTCTCCCCAAAGCTCTGGGAGCGAGGCTACAACTCATCTCCCCCCTTCCAGAGCGGAAACTGAGGTCCAGAGGCGAGTCCCACGGCAAGTCCCAGGGGAAGCTGGAACGCAGGCGTCCAAACCAGAGCCCAGCTCTCTCCTGCTCCACCCCAACACGCCCTCTATCGCCGGCCTCCAGGCCTTTGCCTAGGCAGTTCCGTCCGCCTGGAATACCCTCTCCCCTTTCCAGGCCGGCGGAGGGTGGCCCCCAGCACCTCCTCCTCATGGCCCGGCCCGACTGTTGCTCTGCCAGCTGTGCCTGCCCTCTGGCCAGTGCCCAGCTGTGCAGCACGGGACTCGGTTCTCGGCTCCCGCCCCTGCCGGGGTTAATGCAGCTCACCCGGGACAGGGGACAGAGACTGCGAGGCTATTCTGGGCCTGGCCTGGTCACCAGTCACTGAGGGAGCTGCCTGCCTGCCCTGGCCATTCGATTACCCAAGCACTCAGTGAGGGCCTACTACGTGTCAGCCAGGGTCTCAGTGCTGGGCACACAGCAGGGAAGAAAACTGACAAAATGCTCCCTCTTGGAGGGAGACAGACAGTAAGCAATGTTATTGTAAACGATACAGGGTCCGCAGGTGAGGGGGCGGAGAACAAGACAGCAGAGAAGGGTGGGTAGGCTGCCGCTTTAACGAGGGTGCACAGGGGAGGCCTCTCTTGAGGAAAGACCTGAAGGAGGTGAGGGATCCAAGAGGAGACATGGGGGATGAGCAGTCCAGGTGGGAAGAGCAGCACGTGCAAAGGCCCCGGGATAGGATGTTCAAGAAGAAGTGAGGAGGCTGGCAGGGCTGGACCCGAATGAGGGGGGGAGAGCGAGAGGAAGCCACGTTG